GAGGCTGTCTGGAGGAGCCGTAACCGAGGATACACTGATTTAGAGGAGAGAGGAGTGTCTCTGGAGGAGCTATAACCGAGGGTACACTGAAGTATTCTCCTGAGACGATTTAAGCCAACAGTGATGTTTAAAAGAGGCGTGACGCATGGCTGGACTTCTGTCAAACTAAGCACAGCTCTGCAAACTGTTCCCGTTGTGATTATAAGTTATTTGAGATGATCAAATGTGCATCAGACTTTCTGCCCTTTACAGTTTGTTTACTCACTAATCACATGTCCCCTGGATGTTAGGTGATGTTACAGTGAGAACAGCTGCTGAGGGCAGTGCAGAAAGAAGAACAGTGTGTATAATATATATCGCTCAATAACAAATGTAACAGGCCTACATGTCACACTTTATCTGTAGGCTTTAGGAGATATCTACAAATAAACATTAGGGTTAGGGTTAGGGTTAGGGTTAGGGTTAGCGAGTGTCTTTTGTAATGAATATGCTGCCAGCAAAGGGCGTTGTTGGACTAACAGTGTGTGTGTGTGTGTGTGTGTGTGTGTGTGTGTGTGTGTGTGTGTGTTAGGGTTAGGGTTAGGGTTAGGGTTAGCGAGTGTATAGGTGTCTGTTGTAATGAATATGCCGCCAGCAAAGGGTGTTGTTGGACTAACAGTAGGTGTGTGTGTGTGTGTGTGTGTGTGAGAGTTGATGTGCCAGGCAAACAGGCAGGCCTCAGTAGCTTATCTGACATATAATTGGTCAAAAATGGTACATTCTCCGTTAGCCTACGAGCTCCCCGTTTGAGCGAAGGACTATTCCTTCTCAAAGTAGCATGACATTGGATATGCGCTGAAGTTGTCCTGGATTGGAATTTTTCCGATCATTCCCCTAGGAGCAGTTTGCAAGAATGTGCTTAAAATGCATGAAAAAACGGCATTTTTTCAAAATGGCCGACTTCCTGGGGGGCGGGGCTAATGGAAGGCAATTTGAAATATGTGTGCAATCATAATAGCAATATGTATACAGGGTTTCGTGAATATTGGAAAAAGTATACGCGAGTAGTTTGGAGTCATTTGGAGTCATTTGTGACATGTAAATCGTAATAAATGGTGTATTCGCTGTTAGCTTACGACCTCCACGATTGAGCTATAAAAAATGTTCTTCTCAATTTAGCATCATATTGGATAGGGGCTGAACTTGTGCTGGATTTGAATTTTTCCGATCATTCCCCTAGGAGCAGTTTGCAAGAATGTGCTTAAAATGCATGAAAAACGCACATTTTTCTAAATGGCCGACTTCCTGGGGGGCGGGGCTAATGGAAGGCAATTTGAAATATGTGTGCAATCATAATAGCAATATGTATACAGCGTTTCCTGAATATTGGAAAAAGTATACGCGAGTAGTTTGGAGTCATTTGGAGTAATTTGGGACATGTAAATCGTCAAAAATGGAAAGTTCTCCGTTCGCTTACGAAGTCGTCGTTTTGAGCGATCGACTATTCCTTCGCAATTTAGTATCACATTGGAAATGGGCTGAACTTGTCCTGGATTGGATTTTTTCCGATCATTCCCCTAGGAGGAGTTCGCAAGAAGGTGCATAAAATGGCTGAAAACCGCACATTTTAAAAGATGGCCGACTTTCTGGGGGGCGGGGCTAATGGAAGGCAATTTGAAATATGTGTGCAATCTTAATAGCAATATGTATACAGTGTTTCGTGAATATCGGATTAACTATATCCGAGTAATTTGGAGTAATTTGCGACATGTAAATCGTCAACAATGGTGTATTCGCTGTTAGCTTCCGACCTCCACGATTGAGCTATCAAAAATGTTCTTCTCCATTAAGTATCATATTGGATAGGGGCTGAACGTGTCCTGGATTGGAATTTTTCCGATCATTCCCCTAGGAGGAATCGGCACGAATGTGCTTAAAATGCATAAAAAACGCACATATTTCAAAATGGCCGACTTTTTGGGGGGCGAGGCTAATGGAATGTATATACAAATATGTCCGCAATTCCATGAGGAATGTCTGTGCCAAAATTCGTGAAGTTCTGAGAAACTATATGCGACTACCACACAATAGGGGGCGCTAGTGAGCAGTTTTTTAGAAAATGTACGTTTTTTTTTTAGATTATCCAAAAAGTCGTGGGCTCTGACGTGTGTCCCAAGTTTTGCGTCTGAAGCTCATTTTATGCTACCGCAATTTAAAAAAAATGTATAGGCCACGCCCACATTCTGAATTTGTTGCGATACTTTAAATCTGAGTTCGTAGTCACCCCGAGAGTATGTGTAAAAAAAAATAATAATAATTCGTCCATCCGCTCTTGAGTTATAAATGGGTGGTGTTTTTGGCGCCCCCTATAGTCTTAAATGTAAATTATTTGGTGTGCCTATTTCCCAAGACAGATTGAACCTTTCCACCAAAATCTGTGGTGAATGGATACATTGTTGATGAGTTATGAGCATTTATTTATAAGCCCCGCCTTTTTGCGAGTACGTTTTAATTAATGGTGAAAATATTTATCGTTTGAACATGCTCATCTCCTAGGGTAATGTGTCTGACCCTCCACCGATGCTATATACGAAGTTTGGTGTTGAAAAACTGAAAATTGAAATTTAAGTGAATATTTAACTGTTTATGTAAATTAGCCAATTTAAAAAAAAAAAATGTAGGCGGAGCTTAGGGTTCCCATGGACTTATTTGTAGAGCAGGTATTCCCGGATATGTGTGCAAAATTTCAGGTCATTCTGAGTTACGGTGCGACTTTGTTAATTTTGTCCGAAATGGGATTTTGATAGGTGGCGCTAGTGAGCAAGTTGGAATATTTAACCCATCGACTCCAGAATATTGTATTTTTCACCAGTCCTGGCGTCCGTGCAAAATTATACAACTTTGTCAGCATCCTAAAGGCCTCAAAAACAGGAAACGCTGGCAGATGAAAAATAATAATAAGAATTCCACGAATAACAATAGGGATCCTCGCACTTCGTGCTAGGACGCCGTTGGGTCCTAGCACTCTCGTGCTCGGGCCCTAACTAGCGTTAGTATTACCGTCTTCTTGCGAAGCAGAAGGAGTAGCCGGCGAGCGCCCGTCGACCGAAATGGTTATATTTGGGTTCAGTCTGTGGACCGTTAAGCTTGTCCGGCTACTATAGAGATGTGCTCTGAAGCGAGAAGAGGTGTTTGAATGACGCATGCGTCGTGGCGCAAGCTACTTATAGGGGGTGAATTCCCTGACGCTGACGTCAAGATCACCAGCCAATCAGGATTGGCGTAATGAGATTGATGCTTCTGTTTGCTCCGCGATGAGGCGCATCCCATAGTGAGACATCGAACGGAGTGTTATGAATGAGAACTATTTTTTATTTTTCCCTTTACACGGGAGTCCGGGACAAACAAAGTCCCGTACGGGACACACCCCTTTTGGCTCAAATACGGGGCGTCCCGGCCAGCGCTGGTCCCGGCTAATACGGGATGGTTGGCAACCCTAGTTAGCGCAGCTAGCTAGCACCAGATGCTAACAACAATACACGTAACCGGTGCGCGCGCTTTCTCGCTCGCTCGCGCCACACACACAAACACACACACCCTCCCGAGCTTGAATGACACACAGAGACCAATCGAGGGCATTAGTATAATCTGTATGAAAGTGGCCATGTCGGCAGGCCACATCATGGAGACAGCCATTCACCCTCTGTGAGGCAGAGTCAGACCCACATTTGCGCAGCGTTGCGTTCACAATACATACATTTAAAAAAATCCTCAGGCCAGCAGGCCACTTAACAGGCCATCCTCCCGACCGCCCAGTCCGGGCCGTCATGATGTGCCGCCAGCGGTACCACATAAAAATAAAAATTAGAAGTGCCGGTACTGCGTACCGGTGAGTACCGGCCCAATTCAAGCACTGCCTATGCAATCAAGTAAGCTAGCTAACCTGTGCTAAAACACTGTGAGGCACACATTTACAACAGCAAACTAGTCATTTACTGCTTTATTTTAAATTATTTTAATAGCTAAATTGTTTGCACCATACGAATATTTAAAAGATTGTTGAAGACCCAATATAATATGCAACTCGCATTTATGCAATTATACTTATTGTTTCTCTTTTAGCAAAGATGTAGGCTACTTTGCCTGAAAAAGGTTGAAAACCCTTGCATTACATTACATTGCATTTAGCTGACGCTTTTATCCAAAGCGACTTACAATAAGTGCGTTCGACCAACAAAATACAAACTTGAAGAAAACAGAATCATATAAGTACATCAGGTTTCATAGAACAAAAACATTTCAAGTGCTACTCAACTGGCTTTAGGTAAGCCAGTCCTTTATTAGTATATAAGTGCTTTGTTAATAGTTCTATCGCTCGAAGTGGAGTCGAAAGAGATGAGTTTTCAGTCTGCGCCGGAAGGTGTGTAAGCTTTCTGCTGTCCTGATTTCAATGGGGAGCTCATTCCACCATTTTGGAGCCAGGATAGCAAACCCACGTGTTTTTGCTGATGGGAACTTGGGTCCCCTTCGCAGCGAGGGTGCAGCGAGCCGTTTGGTTGATGCAGAGCGGAGTGCACGTGCTGGGGTGTACGGTTTAACCATGTCCTGGATGTAGGAAGGGCCAGATCCATTCGCAGCATGGTACGCAAGTACCATTGTCTTGAAGTGGATTCAAGCTTGCTTAATAAGATCCCAGATACCTGTAAAACAAATTGCCTTCCCAGCAATTACACCTGCACTTTGTGTTTACCTCATTAGAAAAAGCGTCGGCCTGCTAACAGTCCAAATTTGGAACTATGGAAAATAATACCGGCTTAACGTTAGCATTATAGCATTGTCTTTAAGAGAATGTTTGCAAACTGATACAGCATTTTAGTTCATATTGCATCTGGTAGCTTGGGAGTTCACCTTTGTTTTCCGATCAATGTAACTCCACGTTTCAGAGAATAATTCAGTTTTAATAGTGTATTGTTCCTTCTGCTGTAATGTTTATCACTGTCATGTGTCTTTTGTTCCCACAGGCGCCATCTTCCCCGCATACCGACCTTCAGAAACTGTCTTCAAAATCACCTTCTGGCTTGGATACTTCAACAGCTGCATCAATCCCATCATCTACCCGTGCTCCAACCAGGAGTTTAAGAAAGCTTTCCAGAGATTACTCGGAGTTCCCTGTCTGAGAAAGACTCCCAGACTCCACCAACATCCTCTGAGCGCAGGTCAGAGCCAAGCAAGGGGTCAGAGCCAGCCTCTTAATCTGGGTCTGGACAGCAAGGGGGCTCCCTGTCGGCTCAGCCCCTCTTCCTCGGTGGCCCTGTCCAGAACCCCGTCTTCCAGGGACAGCAGGGAGTGGAGGGACTTTTCTGGAGGCCCCAAAAGCGGATCAGGGCCAGGCGGGAAGAGCAGGGATAAAGTGGCCAAACTCTGCAGTAAAAGCTTCCATCGGAGCTGCTGCTGCATCCTCAGAAGTGGGACTCCCCTACACGAGCCCCCTCCTGTCGGAAACCTTCCCACGATTAAAATCCACCAACTGTCCCTCTCAGAAAAAGGAGAGCCTGTATAACCAGTAATCCGTCATCCATTAGTCATGACTCCACTTTCAAGGTCACAGATGAGAAAATATTTCCTTTTGCTCCGTTGGATGAGCTGTGTTGTATTGGTGGCCTCTTTGAAACATTAAAGTCTCAACTTTTATATAATTCTGTGATTTTCTGTGAATACATGTCCATGTTTGTCATACATACTATATCTGATACCTTTAAGAAGAAGGCTTTTTTGCTTTTCAACACAAACTATTGTAAATAAACTAAACTTACTACTAACATTTTTTAAAGTTTACATATTTTATATGAGAGAAGACCAGGTAAAATGTACAAAACAAGAGTGTTTTATTTGTTGTATGTATGATTTCACCAAATGTTTCAAAATGCTGGTCAGTGGTGCTCTCCAAAATATGTTGTTTCTGTATTCAAAATGATGTCGGTGTTGCTCCGTACACAATAAAGACCAAGAAACCTTCTCATATTATTATACATTTGTACATACTCCTATAAAAGGGATTTACGAGGACATTTTTGGACTCTTTCTCGTTTATTTGTTGGATGATTCACTGAATAGCCTCTAAAAACGTCTAATTCATCTTGTCACATTCCCACCATATCATGCCCCCTCCGAGCAGTGCCAGATGGATGTCTTAATATACTTCTGTGGAATTTTAGCTTGCTGACCTCAATCCTGACCGGCACATAAGCCTCTTAAAAAAACCATCCGATTTAGAGATGTCGCATTTAGTCATACAGTCGCAGACATTCTTCTCTCAGGCCTTGTTTAAATACTTGTTTTTAGCTGCCGTACACATGCAAAGTATTGACCTTTATACTCTGCTGCTGTGGGTGCTGTTTACCAGTGTGCAAAGGTGAAAAACTTAATCTGTTAGTGGGAGTTTCGAGGCTGCAAAGTTTCACTCTGTTTACGCAGAGGCATCAAAGGGCAAGAGGACAACCTCTGCCAACTATATTGATTTGTTTTTCTCCCTTTGTAGTACCAAGATGAACTCCCTTTGCAAGTGCGAGAGGGATAAGATGCAGTCGTGTGTTAAGTGCAGCAGTTTCCCACAGGAGAGTCAGCGAGAGTGCTTGTCTGTGTCTGCGTTGTCATTGACTGGCATGTCTGTGAACCTGTAAATCACACCAGCTCTGGGCAGAAAGAGAGGAAGCATCCAGCTGCAGCAATAAACTATGCAGATGGTACAGATGACCTAATTCCCCCCCATCTATTGTCACTGTGTGCAGAGAGCGTTGGCATTATGCACAAAACCTCCTCTAATGAACACCTGTGTGCCAGGCTTTATAAAGATACATCATCCTTCAAATGCAATAGCTATAATGAACACCAAATTAGATCTGCAACCTCGTAGGAGCCATATATAGACTGGAACAAAGTAAGAACAACCCATCATTTGTTTTACCTGCACTTCCTTATTATATATATATTTGGTTAAATTATCAAAAGTGTGCATTCTACATATCCTCAGTATTATTTTAAACCTCTGTTAGAAGATTAAGCACTTAACGTTCAATGATTGTCTCCAAAGGGGAAGGAAATGAATCACAAATGCTTATAGTTTTATATTAATGTACTTGACGACAAATCAGTTCTTGACTTAATAACAGCGGTGTGTGTGTTTCAGTGGATTAAAAGCATTGCAATCACTGCTGGTGACTCATGTTTGCACACTTTTCTCAGGAGGGCTCAAAGTCTTCATTATTAATATTCTTTTGATTTTTTTCACAACATGTCACATTTTGGTCAGCAAGTCAAAACACTACTTTAATGTTGAAAAATCAGTCATAATACAAATACTACAACCAATAATAATATAAATAATAATAATAATTACAATAATAGTCAAATTACTGCTATTACTACTACTACATTACATTTCATTTGTGTGACGCTTTTGTTTACTAACCATAAAGATTCAAACTCAGAAAATTCAAACTCTGAAGTGCAGATACTTCAACCAAGTCATACTACTACTACTACTACTACTACTACTACTACTACTACTACTACTACTACTACTACTACTATTACTACTACTACTACTACTACAACTACTACTACTGCTACTACTACTACTACTACTTATAATAATAATAATACAATTAAAATTAAAACAATTAAAACGTATAATTGTAATAATACAATAAACTATAATAATAATAATAATAATAATGATACAATTCAAACTAATAGTAGTGGTTACATTATAATTCAAACTATTAATAATAGTAATAATTAAATTAAATTAAAACAGCAAACAAGAAAATATTGTTTTGTTTCACTATAAATAAAAACTAATAACACATGTAAAAAGAATTACAATAATAATATTACAATAAATAATAATAATACATATATATATATTATTATTATTATTAATATTAATTTGCAACATAAAAATAAATAAATCAACATCAATAAATACGCTTCCCGATGCTTTTTGATGTCTCTTTTAAGCTCATCATGCAGTCCCAGAGTCCTAATTGGACAGACTGGCAAACAGCCAGTGGGTTTCTCTCGTCACAGATCTGTTTCTGATGAGTGCATTCACTGTGACGTTGTCCTGCTCGCTTCACTTGACTGGCAGCGTCCCTGCAGGTGAATGTCTGAGGTGGAGGAGCAGCAGAAGGCTGCACATCACGACTCTGTGCCTCCACCTAGTGTCTCACCGCCTCTCTGAGTCACACCATTCAGATTCACATGGAGGTTTATTGGCAAGGTGGTTTAAGGAATTGTCTTGGTGTTTGGTATGCACAGTCATAAATATAAACTAGAAATACTATATAAAATACTACAAGAAATATGTACAATATAACTGAATTTTGGAATGTGCAAGGGTATCTACCGCCTGGATGTGGCGTTACTTACAAAAGTAGTTGAATTCCAAATTTGAAATTGATAACATTTAATGTTGTACTTCAAATATTTGTGGGATTTTTGGTAAATTATTTAGAAGGTTCCTGGAAAGGATTGCATACATATTACAACAATAGAGATAGGACTCAGTAGGTAGGCTTTTAAATAATTACTCCAATATATGCTTTTGTGACAGGAACTCATGTTTAATCAGGGGTGAAAACATTCTAAGAGCTTTTTCTTTACTAAAAGTATCCAAAAGATTTCACCCTTTGCTTATATTATTTCGATAAAAGTACACAAGTTTTAAAAAGAATTATAGGGTTGACAATTACGTGATTGTTATAATACAATTCTGTGTGATGAACTTGTGTATATAAAATAAAAATAAAGACTCAATACCATAAGTTTCATTTTTATTACTTTAATCCACTGAAGTCAACACAGACAGGGTCGAATGCTGACAAGACCGATGATTCCCCCCCAAAAATCCTGGTATCCTACACAACATACATGACCGATTAGAGTATCACACTTGCTGGGAGAGGGGTAACAACAGTGCTCAACATCACAACTCAAATACCATCACCAGGACACTTCCCCCAATGCAAATCACTTCACATTATAGCTTGGCATACAAAAACTACACTTGACAAGGCAATGAGGAAGAAACAATCTAGTGTTTTACAGTACACCGACAACGTTTTTGTGGTTTGGTGAATACAACTTACTACCTCGAGTGGATGTGGTGCGGTAGAAGGGATGAGAGGGGAAAAACAGGGATATCTGATTATTCATTCACGACACTAACACCGAGAACAATGGACAAATCATCAGCACACTGTGAGGGACTTCATATACATACTGAATTTTCATCAGGTCTCAAAGTTGGTGTTTCCACTTCTTGAGATAGCCTTCATAGATACAGTGTGCTATCAATATCTTACAGAACAGGCAGGCAAGTAGTTCCAACAAATATCCTAAAACATACAAAGCCATTAATACAAAATAAAAAGTTGCAAGCTCACATACATCTTTTATTATTTTGGATTGGTGCAAAACTAATTCTGAAGGAATGGTGACTGCTGTGTGTGTGTGTGTGTGTGTGTGTATGTGTGTGCGTGTGCAAGGACATCATCTGCACATTTACAGCAATGGTCATATAGCACCATGTGCAGAAAGCGCTGTCGGCAAACTTCACATTTGTATGTTTCCTGAATACACCGTTCTGATTATTGGAAGCCTTTTGCTCTGACAACCTTAAAACAAACACCAGGAAAACACAAAATGTTGAAATGAGGGAAAAGGTTCTCAGACAAATTGTTATGTGCCAGTTGAATGAGTGGTTTAACCCTTAAATACCCTTTCTTTTTATTTCAGCGCTTCCCAAAATGACAAAAACCATATACAACACAATATAAAAAAATAAAGAAAGTGCAACTATAACACGAAAGGAAGACCAAGCTGAATTGTTCTGCTGTACCTACACACAAAACAAAATACTGCAAAATTAGGATATACATATACATCGTGATATTCTAGGGTCATCTTTCATGACTAGTATTTTCAGTTTTAACAGTTTTTGTACTAAAACAGCCATTTTACAGAGTTACAACACCAGTGCATTCTTCTGTGGGGAATGGACAGCACGTTAAGAAAAAACGTAAACACTTGCAGTTTCTAAAAAACCTTCTTGTCCAACTAACTGATCTTTTCCGTCAACTTTCCGAGCCAAGAGAGCAAATAACCAGCTCAAACATGCACAGCAGAATTTATACAAAAATGTAAACAAATTAAATTAATCAATAATCAAAATTAGGCTTCAAAAGCAGCAAAAAAAAAGACGCTTCAATTAACTTGATCTTCCTTGACAATGGAAAATGACAGGAAAGATGTGACGTAGTGGTGGTGTGTGAAGAAGAATGGACGGAGTGCTTGTGGGTGAGGAGCAGGGTGGAGTCGGGGGTGACCAGATAGGATGTGGCGGCGGTGGGAGGGGCCTCTGGTCCCGGGCCGCCCTGCGTCCTCCGCCTCACGTGAGTAAAGAGCTTAGCCGAGGTTGGTGATGTTAGCTTTTCCACCGGGAGGAGCCACGATGCGCTGAGTGCTGCGACGAGGAATGTTGTCGTCATTTTGGGCACCTAAAAAATTTAAAATATAATACACTGGGTTACTGCAAGTTAAAGTCGAGAGATTTTAAAACCTCTTTAAGACCACACTAGAAGAAGTATAAAGTAAAATTGGCTGCTAATGGACAAAACAAAGGCCAATAATTATTGGAAATGAATACATTCACATGTTTAAACAGGACAAAAGTAGTTCATAAGAAGATGGTGCTGAGTAATCAGTGTGAGAAAAAGTTTTTAGAGAGTACTTGTCCATGGACAAGTGAGTTTGGCAATTTACTTGTCCGAATACATTTTTCACTTGTCCAGAATGGACAAAAATTGGGGCCACTGGAATCTTCTTATTCGTCATCGTATTTTACATTTTCCCACGGTTTTTA